AACATTCAGGCCCCAGGCTCTGGCTGGTGTACCAAAATGGGTGCAGCCACATGCAACCAAACCTGGAGTCTCCCCCAAAGCAGTCCTCTGGGATGTGGTAGCAGAGGTAGTGGTGGTGGTGTTGGCAGCATGCAGTGGGTCGGCAGTAGCAGTGGCTCCAGCAGCAGCTGCAACAGCAGCTGTAGGGGCAGCATCACCAGGCGATCTCCAGGGGTCAGCAGCAGTGTTGGCTTCAGCTGCATCTGGGGCAGTGGCTTCTGAGGAAGCCCAGAAAGAAGACCTCCCAGCGACCTCAGGCTGGCAGCAGTGAATCAGAGAGAGAAGCAATGGCAGTAACGGTGTAGGCAGTCATTGATTGAGTCCAGTATAGTTTTGATTGGCTTTTCCTTAATTGTTAACGATGTTGAACGTTTTTCTATGTATTTATTGGCCATTTGTGTTTCTACTTTTGAGAAGTATCTTATTAACTCATTTGCCCATTTATTAATTGGGTTATTTGGTTTTTGATGTAAAGTTTTTTGAGTTCTTTATATATTCTAGATATTAATCCTTTATCAGAACCCATTCTATAGGTTCTCTCTTCCCATTCCAAATTGTTTCCTTTGATGTGCAAAAGCTTTTTAATTTGATGCCATCCTTTTTATTAACTCTTGGCATTTTTTCCTGAGCTTTAGGGTTCCTACTGAGAAAGTTGTTGCCTGTGCCTCTATGCTGGAGTGTTGACCCTCCATTTTCTTCTAGGACTTCCATAATTTCTATTCTAATTCCTAGGTCTTTGATCCTTTTTGACTTGATTTTTGTGCAGGGTGAGCGAGCAGAGTCTAGTCTTATTTTTCTGCATTTGAGTAACCAGTTTTCCCAGCACCATTTGTTAAAAAGGCTGCCTTTTTTCCAGTGTATGTTTTTAGCACCTTTGTCAAGGATCAGATTACTATAGATGTGTAGTTTTCTCTCGGTGTGTCTTCTATTATGTGCCATTCATCTATGTGTCTGTTTTTATGCCAATACCATATAGTTTTTGTTACTATAGCTTTGTAGTATAATTTGATGTCAGATATTGTGATGCCTCCAGCATTGTTTCTTTGGCTTGAAATTGCTTTGGCTATTTTGGCTATATTGCTTGTATTCCTACAAATGAATTTCAGGACTGTGTTTTCTAATTCTTTAAAGAATGCCATTTGTATTTTGATGGGGATTGCATTGAATCTGTGAATTGCTTTTGGTAGTATGGCATTTAATTCTGTTTATCCATGAACATGAGAGGTCTTGCATCTTCTGGGGCCTTTTAAATTTCTTTCTTCAATGTCCTATGATTTTCATGGTAGAAGTCTTTCACCTTCTTGGTTTATTCTTAGGTTTGTTTGTTTTTCTTTCTTTTTTTTGTGTGTGTGTGTGTGTGTGTGTGTTTTTTTTTTTTGAGGCTATTGTGAATGGAATTGTTCTTCTGATTTCTTTCTCCGCAGATTTATCATTGGTATATATGCATGTTGTATGTTGATTTTGTAACCTGGTAGTTTGTTAAAGTATTAACCTGCTTCTATTAGCTCTAGAAGTCTTCTGGTGGAGTTTTTTTATCTTCTAGGTAAAGATCATATAATCTGCCAATGGTGACATTTTTGCTTCTTCCTTTTTAATTTTTATCCCTTTCATTTCTTTCTCTTGCTTAATAGCTCTGGCTAGAATTCTAGTACTACATTACATAGGAATGGTGAGAGTGGACACTCTTACCTTATCCCAGATTTTAAAGAAAATGTTTTCAGTTTTTCCCTACTTACTACAGGGTTGGCTTTGGGTTTCTCACATATGACCTTTATCATGTTGAGATCAGTTCCTTCTATCCCTAGTTTCTTCAGTGTTTTTATCACTGAGTTTGGTCAAAGGCCTTCTCTGCATCTATTGAGATGACTAAGTGATTTTGTCCTTAATTCTATTTATGTTTTGTGTGTATTACATTTATTGTTTTGTGTGTATTAAACCTTCTTTACATCTCTGGAATAAAACCTACTTTTACAATCTTCTTAATATGTTGTTAAATACAACTTGTGAATATCTTACTAAGTATTTATACATCTAAGTTCATCAGGGTATTGGTCTGTAATTTTCCTTCCTTGACATTTCCTTATCTGGTTTTGGTAAAAGGGTGATGCTGGCTTCATAGAATTGATTTGGAAGTGTTCCATCCCTTTTTATTTCATGGAATCATTCAAGGAGTATTGGCATTAGTTGTTCCCTAAAGGTCTGGTGGAATACAGCTGAGTATCCATCTAGTCCTGGGCTTCTACCTCAATACAGATATTGATCCATTTAGGTTTTATATAACTTCTTGACTCAGTTTTGGCAGATTATGCCTAGAAATGTATCCATAATAATCCCTACGATCTGCTGGATTTCTGTAATGTCTGTGGTGATTTTGCCTTTTTCATCTCTAATTTTATTAATTTGTGTTTTTTTCTTTTGGTTAGTTTGGTTAAACACTTATCTTTGCAAAGAACCAACTCTTTGTATCATTGATCCTTTGTATTGTTTTTATTCTCAATTTTATTGATTTCAGCTCTGATCTTAAATTTTCCTTCCTTCTCCTGGTTTTGGAATTGGTTGTTCTTCTTTTCAGGGGCATTGAGATGCATCAGTAGGTTGTTTATTTGGGATCTTTCTGATTTTTTTATGTAGGAACTCATAACTATAAACTTTCTTCTTAGATCTGCCTTCATAGTGGCTCAGAAGTTCTCAAGTGTTGTGTCACTATTCTCATTTGAGTCTATGAACTTTTTAATTCCTTTACTGATTTCTTCTATCACCCATTCATCATTGAAAAGTGTAATGTTTAGGGATGGGGTTGTGGCTCAGTGGTAGAGCACTTGCCCAGCACGTGTGAGGCCCTGGGTTCAATCTCAGCACCACATAAAAAGAAATAAATAAAATAAAGGTATTGTGTTCACTACAACTAAAACATATATTTTTTAAAAAGAGTATTGTTCAATCTCCAGTGTTTATATAGTTTTTGTAGGATTTTGTTATGCTGATTTTTTAATTTCATTCTATTACAATCTAATAAGATGTAAAGAAATATATCAATTTTTTTTTTGGTATTGGCTAAGAGTTGCTTTGTGGCCTAAAATGGTCTATTTTAGAGAATGTTCCATGAGATGCTGAGAAAAAAGTGTGTTCATTTGTTGTTGGATAAAATATTCTGAAGATGTCCATTAAGTCCATTTGATTTTAATATTTTTCAGGTCCAAAGAGTCTTTTTTTTTTTGGCACTGGGTATTGAATCCAGGGGTGCTCAATCACTGAACCACATCCCCAGTCCCCCCTTTAAAAATTTCATTTAGAAACAGGGTCTCACTGAGTTCCTTAGGGCCTTGATAAGTTGCTGAGGCTGAGTTTGAACCAGTGATCCTCCTGCATCAGCCTCCCAAACTGCTGGGATTACAGGTATGCACCACTGTACCCAGTCAAAGAGTCCTTACTGAGTTTATGTCTATATGGCCTATGTAATTTTGAGAGAAGTATCTTGAGTTTACCCAATAATATCTTACTGGGGTGTATCTTAGGCTGCAATTTGAGGAGTGTCTCTTTCATGAAATTAGTTGCATCCATATTTGGGATATATTTATTATTGGCATGTCTTCTTGTTGGATTGTTCCCAATACTGGTATGAAGTTACCTTCTTTGTCTCTTCTGATTGATTTTGGTTTGAAGTCAGCCTTGTAGATATAAGAGTAGCTACCCCTGCTTTTTTGGGAGCTCTATTCACTTTTTTCACATTTAGCCTGTGATTGTCTTTGACTGTGAAGTACATCTCATGCAAACAACATGTAGTTGGGTGTTGTTTTTAATCCATACTGTCAGCCTATGTCTTTTAATTGGAGAGTTGAGACCATTTGCATTCAGTGTTATTATAGAGAGATGTTTATTAATGCCTGCCATTTTGATTTATTTATAATGTTAAATTTGGCCCTGTTTCTCATTTGCTTAGCTACTCTTTATATGAGATTCATTTATGAGCTCTGGGTTTTGTGTTATTATTTCTTCTATGTGGAGTATATCTTTTATTAAGTTCTGTAGTGACAGTTTAGCAGCTATCAATTCTTTTATTTTCTGCCTATCTTGAAAGGTTTTTATTTCCTTTTTGATTTTGAAATATAGCTTTGCTGGAAATAGCAGTCATGGTTGACAATTGTTTTCCTTCAGGACTTGAAACACATCATTCTAAGCCCTTTTGGCTTTTAGAGGTTGTACTGAGAAATTGGAAGTGATTATGAATGACTTGCCTTTAAATATGACCTGATGTTTTTCTCCTGAGGCTTTTAAAATTCTCTCTTTGCTTGGTATGTAAGGCATTTCAATTATAATGTGTCATGGAGAGGGTCTTTCTTGATCTTATCTATTTGGGATTCTGAATACATCCTCTATATGGATGTCCATGACATTCTCAAGGTTTGGAAATTTTTCTGTTATTATTTCCCTGAAGACATTATCCAGGTTTTCCCATACCAAATCTGTGTTTCTCTCTGTGTTCTCCCTCCCTCTTTGGTAAACCAGAGCTGCTGTCATTACTGTTGCCACTGCCACCAATGTTCAGCTCCACTGTACTCTTTCTTCTTTGTTTAATGTACCCAAATATCAGAGAGTCTAAGACACTCTGACTATTGAATTTTAGTGAGATCCTTCATTTACTCACTTCACTGAGGAGCAGTATTCCCACCACTTGGATCCCAAGCCATGGAGCCACTAGGAATGCGGACTTCCTCTAACCTGTCATCTTGAATATTCTAAAATAATTTTGTAACATCGAGAGTTGCAAATACAATAAAACTCATAGTTTATAACTAATAATAATGGTATTTTCATAGTACAATTTTCCTCACTGTGGGACTTAGTAATTCCCTGCATTACATTGTAATCTTCCCTTCCACTTTTTTATACTGGAAAAAGCTACTACTCAGACATTATTTTAATGATTGTAAATAAAACACTTTTATCTTTTTAAATTTTAGGGAATGTGTATTGCTATACTGGGACCCACTTTTCAAGATTTGGCAAGGAATGTAAACAGAAACATCAGCAGTCTTTCTCTCATTTTTGTGGGCCGTGCCTCTGGATATTTGTTTGGCTCTATGATTGGTGGAGTTCTTTTTGACTGTATGAATCATTTTTTACTTTTGGGTAAGTAAACACTGCTTTGTGTTTCTTGGTGACTATAAATGGTTTTACAATTTGGTTCAAATATGGAAATAGTAGCCTGAAGAATGGTTGACAACTGAAATGGATATTATTTGGGTGTTCTCGTTGGAAGCTGAGTTTCCATGGTCCTGCTCTCACCTTTGCAGTTTGGGGGAGTCTGTGCTGGGCCCCCTGGAAACTTAGATCAGCCCCCTGGTGTGTGTGTTAGCAATGCTTGGCCTTCTAGACCTTTATTGTAATTTAGGTACCACTGTAGGATCACCCACTGGTTGTCCAAAAGGCTTTGCTCATAAGGTTGTAGGATAGATCTCCTATGGCCACAGAGATTAGAATGAGCTCCTAGAATCTGCCCAGGTTCTATGGACTCTGGATTGAAGTGAAGGGGATGATGTGTGAACTGAGGTAGGCTGTATTTTTATCCCTGCTGTCCCATGTCAGCGATAACCCTGGACTGCTCTAATTCTCCCTGGAAATTAATGGGAAAGCTTTTAACATAGTCTCTTTTGAATATATTGGAACATTTAAAGAAAATTTAGATTAATATAATAAAACTCCTTTGGAAGCAAGGGAAATAACTTGTTGCTGAAGAATAAAAAAAGAATCCACTTTATTTGCAATGTGAGTTGAAAGTATATATATATATATATATTTTTCCCTCTCTATTCCCAAGACTAGTTTAGTTAGTAAGTTTTTACTACAAGATGCTATACTTATTGCATTTTATTTTTGCTATTTTACATTGTTAACACACATCTAATCATACCATTAGTTTCTTTTCTTATCATCATTTTAAAAAATATTTATTTTAAAGTTGTAAGTGGACACAGTATCTTTATTTTTATGTGGTGCTGAGGATCAAACCCAGGGCCTCACGTGTGCTAGCCGAGCACTCTACCACTGGGCCACAACCCCACCCCTTACCATTAATTTCTTAAATGTATAACATTCAATTTTGGCAAGTCTTTTACAATAAAATTTTTCTTTGTATCATAATTTATGGCTCAATTAACAATACCTGAATTGTAATTGTGTCATAGTAATTTATATTTTAGAGTTTATAAAGCTTTATTAAAGTTTTAAATGACATAACCACTTGTAGAAGCTGCAATTCATACACACAATTCCCAAATTTAAATCTCACCTCATTTTGCATTTTTAAGTCATTATGATATTGACTTGACCCTTGAGCCTGCCTAAATTCTGTTTTTAATAGCTGACTTTAAAATTTTTCTTCTCAGGGCTGTCATTGTTAACTACTGCAGTTGGTCTTTATCTTATTCCTTTTTATAAGAGAGCAGTATTACTGATCATCATGATGTCTGTCTATGGTGCTTCAGGGAGCATTGTGGGCATCAGTAAGTGAATCCTTCAGTGTCATCTCTGGGAGTAGGGACTTTCTAATAGGGAGTATAGCATATGATATTAGCCTGTTGGTTGCAATGCTCTTGAAATGACATGGACTTACTGAGTGGATCATGGGTTCACCCCATCAGAAACACGTGTCTAGCAGTTCCTCTTCTTGCCAGTTAGGGCACCAATTTTTGAGCAGCCAACTCTTAAAGGAATATAAACAATTTTGTTTTAAGAGAGATTGTTGATTTATAGTATCCAAAGAGGGAAGGACTCTCCTCCTGTAGCTAATTATAGTACAGGTGAGTGGGCTTTATTTTGGGAAAGAATTTTATCATTGATGATTTAATAGGCTGAAACAACTGTCAAAACTTAATTTGGCTCCACAAGCACAGAAGCAGCTATCCAATTTAAAAACACACCTGTTTTTGAGCAAAAGAGAAATGCATGTAGAGTACTACTACTTTCCTTTCCTTTTTCTCCCCTCTCTCAAATGCTTCTGTTGCCCAGCTACTATGTCATTAGGTTTGAAAACCTGCTAAATAACATACATATTTATTTTGTGCCATATCCAGTCCTTATGCCTCTCTCACCTATTCTTATATTCTTTGATAGATCATGAAAGTGTTTTATACTTCAGCCTTGGTTTGGTTGTAAAATACATGGTGTCAATATGTATTAATCTGGAAATATCTGATTAAAAAAATAAGGCCTTTCACCTTGTGGGAGTTCAAAGGGTAATTATCTGATAGGAGCTCTATTTCCTGTAAGAAGCACAGAAGAATCCTGGGGTTTCAGGTGCATGAATGAGTGTGTGTGTGTGTGTGTGTATTTTCCTCAAATGACTACCAAGTGCAAATACAGTACACTTTAGTAATATGGCCAGGATCTGATGGTAAAAATTTGCATAGTAAATATGTATTTAAAATACTTACAAATAAATATTAGGTGTAAAAAGTATTACTCTTTAGTTTGGGGTTAAGCACTACTAATTTTTAAAAATATTTTTTTAGTTGTACATGGATGCAGCATCTTTATTTTGTTGATTTACTTTTATGTGGTGCTGAAGATCGAACCCAGTGCCTCACATGTGGGAGGCAAGCGCTTTGCCACTGAACCATATGCCAGCCACTACGCACTACTTTTTAAAAAGGTTTTTGCTAATGTGACTGGCTCTAGGAGGGAGTAGTTTAACTGTTGTAAAATTCCAGTATGCAGATGAGATGTCATGAGACATAGCTCTCTGGTGGTAGTGGGTTAGAGTTCCTCAATCTGAACTGACTCAGGTGTAATATTTGATAACTTAGAACATTTAATGTTATGCCACAAAATAAATATTCATTCTAATAATAATGATCCATATTTTTAACAGGGTAATCGTGTTTAATGTAAATCATTTCCTCATCTTTCATTGGCAGGTGGTAACGTCCTCATCTTGGCTATTTGGGGAGATAAAGGAGCCCCACACATGCAGGCCTTACACTTCAGTTTTGCCTTGGGTGCCTTTCTGGCTCCAATTCTGGCTAAATTAGCAGTGGGTACCTCAGTGTCTGCTGAAAACCACACAGAGCCTGCCTTTCAGCCTCCAGCCACCAATGGGTCATCTGAAGCTGACTCAGCGCCTCTGTTTGGATTGCCTGATGACATGAATCTATTCTGGGCTTATGCTTTTGTCGGCACTTATATGTTCATAGTGTCTCTCTTCCCGTTTGCTCTGTTTTTCAAGAAAAGCTCAAGGCAGGAAAAATCAAAACCATCTGCTCAGGAATGGCGAAGAGCTGAATATCACAAGACCCTTCTCTGCCTCCTTTTCTTGTTCTTCTTTTTTTATGTTGGAGCAGAGGTAACATATGGCTCTTACGTTTTCTCCTTTGCCACCACCTATGCTGGCATGGAAGAACGTGAAGCAGCTGGGTTGAACTCCATCTTCTGGGGGACCTTTGCAGCCTGCAGGGGCCTGGCGATCTTCTTTGCTGCCTGTCTACAGCCGGGCACCATGATTGTGTTGAGCAACATTGGCAGCCTGGCTTCATCTTTATTTCTGGTGTTATTTGACAAAAGTCCACTCTGTCTCTGGATTGCCACTTCAGTGTATGGGGCTTCAATGGCAACCACGTTTCCCAGTGGTGTTTCCTGGATTGAGCAGTACACGACCATAAGTGGGAAATCTGCAGCCTTTTTTGTAATTGGTGCAGCACTGGGAGAAATGGCTATTCCTGCAGTAATTGGAATTGTTGAGGGACAATACCCAGATTTGCCCGTAGTTCTGTACACCTGTTTGGGGTCAGCGATATTCACTGCTGTTATATTTCCTGTGCTGTATAAATTAGCCACCTTGCCTCTGGATCGCCAGCGAAAAGCTAACAGAAAGAGTGAGGACTAAAACTCTTTGCTTTCCAACTCTGAGCTAAATGACTATGAGGAGGAGAACGAAGGGGAGAATGCAGAAAAATGGAATGAAATGGATTTTGAAGTGGTTGAAATAAATGATAAAGTAAGATATTCTTTCATAAAGACATCTGGAGATAATTCAGTGGCGCTCAGAGATCATGTCTCAACCAATCATTCTCCAACGCATTGATGTTTGAATCTTCTCCAGTTAATCTAGCAATTCCCCTCTGAAGTATCTTGCCAGAAACCAGGAGAAATGAGAAAATGGACTATTTACTGACTGCCTTGAATAAACGCCACTTCTAACAAGGCCAGTCAGAGGAGAGCATTAGCAGATTTTCAGCATGCTTTGGGGATCAGTTTTTAGGTCCATTTTTAGCAAATGCTGAAAAGTTTTGAAATGTTCTCTAAAAGCCAAAATCCTATAGAAAGTACCAAGTGATATGGTATGATATGGTAGACTAAGATCTTGTTAGGGAGATTAGGTAACTTTATTGTCTCCACCTTTCGGAGAATATTTGTGTTTGAGAACTTGGGTAGTGTTCTAATCGAGTAAACCCACAGAGGAATATAATGGATTTCCTGAGTAATTTATCGGACATCCATCTTCTTCCTGGGAAGTGGGGAGAGTAGTTTCTTTTAAAATCATCTTTGGAATCAACAGATATTTAATTGTTTTATCTTATCTGTATGGTTAGACCAAAGAATGCTAATGACTCATTTGATTTTTGATTTTGAAAAAAAGAACACAGAACAGGGCCCATGAGACCTGAATTCAGGGTGTTTCTCAGCCTTCTAACTCTACACTGACGCCTGGTTTATATCATGTCCTGATTTGTAATTCTTGAAATGAAAGTGAGATAATATCCAAATTAAAAAACTCATAGGTTTAGTTTGTGCAAGATTTCTGGAAGAACAAACCATGCATCATTACAAATTGGAATTAAAACAAAAATAATAAACAGCTTTAAGTATGTGGCTACTGATTATGAATTCATATGCTCAGTGCTTAATATGTTATTGAACAATTTTCTGAAAAATGCATTTTTTTAGTGCTGCATTTTGTTTATCCTAAGACATATCTTTACCCTGTACTTTTTAACATTTCCAATCAGGTATGTGACAAAATTTAATTCACATTATTTTACTATAAACATATATAAAATATGGTTGTATTTTGTAACCAGTGTTTTAGATTCAATGATATACAGTAATGCATTCAATTAGGGAAACTGTACTATGTTTGTTTATATTTTAAAAGAAAACTTATTTTAAATACTAATTTAATCTCTATTTTTATATACAGATGGGATTTTTATATACTATATTCCAATATTAGAAACTATCTCAGAGTTACAACATTAGAAGTAGATTGTTTTCTTGAGACATTCTGCTTATCTTAGTAAGAGACTGGATCTTCCTGTTTCAAGAAATTTAGGTATTATTCCCACTCTACATACTATAAACCAGTCTAAAAGTTGACAATAAGTCACAGACTTTTCCAGGGTTTGGAATTCTTGTGTCACCCATCCAGAGATCCTCCTCTCTGAGTCTGAAATACCTGGAGAATCAAAGTAATGATCATAAGGTAGCTTTGTGGCCCAGGCATGGGAGATGATGAAGGGAAATTTATATGAGTATGAAGGGAACTTCAATAAATGACAAGAATCAATAAAAGTTTTTGTATACTTTTCCCTAAGTTTTATGCTGAGTGACCTCAAATTTCTACCAGAATGCAGTATATTTGCTTTCTCTTATTTAATGTCAATAAATTTGTTTTTGAGAAACAATTGCTTTGGTTTGTCTTAAGTGAAATGCAGTACCTTTCTTAACCAGTTCGTTCACCTTATAGCTTTCATTCATGTTGAGAACAAAACAACTTTGGAGAGGGCTGCTGGAGAAATTGATGGTAAAATGCCTGTTGCTCTTTTTATACAGTACTTCTCCCCTGGTTAGTGTTGGAAATTGCTTCTGTTCCACACTCTCTCTTCTCTTCCTCAGGCTGCTGGGCCTTAGGCAGTAGTAGTTGTTTGGCTGATGAGAGGCTCATTACTACAGGGATTTTCTCCTCAGCTTCTACTTTTAGAGGGTAGGAGATGGGGCCATGGGAGAGATGCTTGGGAATGAGAACATGGCATACTTTTTGGAAATCCATATAGATAAATCACTAAGATTTCACAAACCAAAATGTGGATGTTCATAAGACCTCTGGCATTATAAAATTTTGAAAATGTGTTTCCATATTGAAAGGAATCAACTTAGCACAGTTCTATGCATTAACATTTATTATCCTGTGTCTTTGTGGTTCAAGAATTTGGGCAGGACTTAACTGTGTTCCTTACATAGACTCACAGGACTGATATCACTGTTGGGTTACTACACTCTTTACTGGAGCTTGGACAGCTTTCCCAGGCACATGTTTGCTGGCAGTATTCAGTTGATTGCTATTGTCAGAAATCCTGCCAACTGATTCCCTGGCTCCACTTTCTCAAACGTCCTAATTATCTGTAGGAATTGAAGCAGCTTTATGCTGTGGGCAGCTTTGAACCCAGCTTGCTTTATTGAGCTACTATTGAATTATTCACATAGGGCCACTGATTCATTGACTACCCTGGGCAAGTTGTTTCGTTGTTTCTCTCTAGGCCTCAATACCCCTATTTGTAAATGGGGCCCAAGTGGAATTGAAAGCTTACCCACAAGTTTCAACAAATATTGTGGAGTGAAAGATGTACAATACACTGAAAAACTTCAGACATCAAAGGAGCAAGGGCAGTGATTTTGGAAAGTTGTATGATGGTAAGACTTTTGGTTCCCTATTTTCGTTTCTTTGGACGTGTGTGTGTGTGTGTGTGTGTGTGTGTGTGTGTGAATTACTGGGGACTGAATCCGGGGATGCTTTACCACTGTGCTACACCCTAAATCTATTTACTTATTTTAGTTTTGAGATAAGATCTCACTATCTCGCTAAGTTGCTGAGGCTAGCCTTGAACTTGGGATCTTCCTGCCTCGGCCTCCTGCGTGGCTAGGATTACAGGCATGCACCACCGCACCTAGCAGTTTCCCAATTTTTCCTAGGAGATCCGGGTAGCTGGATCGAGGTTCCACCTTGTAGTTCTTGGCCCATAGTTGTCAGCAATCCCGCCACTTTGTACCTTGTTCCTTAATGGCATTTTATCTTGGGATTTCTCTTCAGAGGCTGCAGCTTCAGTTTGCTCCGCCACGGGGGGGCAGTCCCCTGGCGTCAGGAAGTTCAACTAAGTGTGATGCGATGCCTGCGAGAGATCCGGTCTCCTAGGCAACCAGATTAACTTCCGGTTTGAAGCGCGGTTCTGGTTGGCTGGAGGCTTCATTTCCGCCAAGTGACCCGGGCGAGCGCAGCACGTTCTGGAGGGCAAATGCCCGCTGCGTGCCAACATCTGCACGTCCCAGGCTTCTCTCCGGGTGGGCGGAGAGAAGGCGGCACCTTGAGAGACATTCTGGCCGCGAGGGGCCGAATCCCTGAGGCTCACCTCAGCAAGACCATTTGGAGCCTCCAAGCTGGAGCTGGAACTAGAGTTCCGTGGTGCCGGGGCCACGGCTGCCGGGCAGCGGCTCCTACAGGCCGACGTCTGGGCGCATGAACCGGAGACGGTGGCGGTCTCCCGGCCCGGCCGGACCCGGGCCGTGCTGCGTTGGTTCACCACCGCGATCCTGTGTGCGGCCTTCCTGGGGCTGGTGAGAGCTGGGGGAGCGACCCTCCCTGGCCGGGCGTGAGCAGGCGCCCTGCAGAGCGAGTGGCCTTCACGGTTGGAGTCTTGGCTTCTCCCCCTACGCTGTGTGACCTTAAACACCTTAGTTATTCTGCTTCGGCCTCAGTTTAGTCATCTGGAAAACGGGCACCATTCCAACAGTGGTGGTGGGGATATTGTCAAGTGTGAAACTGTTTTTCCTAATGTGTTTAACAACTGCAGCAAATTTTCTTACCTCTCGTCGGTGCAGAGGTTGCCCAGATCTTTAGCTGCCCTTCGCACCCCACTCATTCAATCCTCAAATTATTACACAAAAAAGCTGATTTTCTAGGATATCCTCTTTCTAGTGTCCTGATCAGATTAAGCCAACCGCTGAGTTTTGCAGATAGGGAAATAATTCTGCAAAGAGAGGAATTATTATAATATATTATTATTATAATTATTATTCCATGTCACACAGCCGGATAAGGCGTAGAGCCAGTAACGTCTTACTTCACTTACAGTCCTATTTATATCAAGCGTTCAGATGCTTAAATGTTTTTTCTTGGAGCAAAGCGCAAGGCTAGATGTAGTTTTGCCAACCCCCTTTTGCCAAACTTGATAGTTTTGGAAGCTGGAGAGTTGTGACCCATAGTTCTTGTTAACACATTGTCCTTTGAGGAGAGTCACTTCTGGTCACTTAGCATATCAGAGAGTCTGAGCCACAATATTCTTAGAATATTTTGATGGAGAAGGGGAGGAGAAAGAAATCACTGTGTATTGTTGGTGAGCCCTCACTGTGTGCCGGGTTTTATAAGTCCTTTGAAGACATGAAGTAATTCCATTAGAACCATTGCTCAGGCTTCTTTCCTTATACCTGGTGCTTGCTGTGGGCCTGTGCATACCCAAGTCCTTAGTCTTGGAGTAGTCCTGCTTGGATAAGGGGTACACCCTGCATATACAGCAGAAAAGTGCAAATAGAATCAGTTATTCTTGAAATGTAGATAAATTAGAAAAAGTTTTTTCTTTTTTTTCTTTGAGATGAGTTTCACTATTTTGTCCCAGGGCCGACCCTGAAATGTGATCTTGATACCTTAGCTGCCCGGTAAGTGGGATTACACCCACTCCACACACACTGCAAGGCTCAAAAACTTGAAAAAGGGTCTAGTGACAGTTCCTCTGATAACCTGCTATATTCCTTAGTTCTGGTTAACACGTGGTCCAAGTGACATTTTATTGTTAAAGTCGTCCTGTACACATGTATGTGATAACTTCTAAAAAAGTCTTAACTGTATTCCTGATGGCTTTGGGTTTTCTTTGAAGGAAAATACATGTTAGAAACATTCAAAGTGTTTATCTCCTGCACACTTTGCACATAGGTAGTTCAGAGGATGCCATAAATATTGCTGTTTTGATATTAAAAAAAGGAATATATATTTTGATGTGTTGATAATTTAAATTTTTAGCAACTAAATTCTTATGCTGTTGTACATGTAGTATATGAAATAACAGCATGTTGAGAATAGTTTTGTTACATCTTATTAACTATTAATGCCGAATAGTTTTTTTTAAAAACTAAACAGAATTGCCTCAAAGAGCCCAAAGAAATGGATAATTTATTTAAAAAATTGAGAATTGGAATAGAAGAAAATCCATGGATCTATAGCTATAATATTGTTCATTTTTCTTGACTATGGGGCTTAAAGTATTCTCCATTACATTGTAATCGCCTTCACACACACAAAAAAAACCCTACCACTTAGACATTGTTTTAATGATTATAAGTTTAAAGAGACCCTTTTGTAATTTTTTATATTTTTATACTATAGGGAATGAGTATTGCTATACTGGGACCCACATTTCAAGATTTGGCAAGGAATGTAAACAGAAACATCAGCAGTCTTTCTCTCATTTTTGTGGGCCGTGCCTCTGGATATTTGTGTGGCTCTATAATTGGTGGAGTTCTTTTTGATTGTATGAATCATTTTTTACTTTTGGGTAAGTAAACACTGTTTTGCACTTCTGTGTTGCTGTCAAGGATCTTAGGTCATTATTTTAAACGTGAAAAATAGTAGCTGCAGAGTGGTTGATAGCTGAATGGGTGGTGTTTGTGTCTTCTCCACAGAAACTGGGTTTCCATGTTTTCTTCTCTGACATTGACAGAGGAAACCTGTATTGGATCCTCTGGAAACAGATCAACACAATGGTGTGTGTGTTAGCAATTCTTGGACTTCCCGACTTTCACAGTAATTTAGGTACCACTTAGGATCATGCACTGGTTGTTCAAAAGGCTATCTCTGCTCATGAGGGTGTAAGGGCAGATTTCCTAGGACCACGGACCTTAGAATGAATGCTCCTGGAATTTGCCCAGGTTCTATGGACTCTGGATTGAAAGTGAAGGGGGGAGGGGATGGTAAGTGAACTGAAGTAGGTTACACTTTTGTCCCTACCACCCCATGTCAGTAATGGCATGCTCTACCTTGCCTTGGAAATAGATGGCAAAATTTTGACATCTTTTTTTTTTTTTGATAAAGTAATGTGTTTAAATAAAATTTTAGATTTAATGTGATAAAACTTCTTTGAAAGCAAGGAGAATAATTTATTGCTGATGAATAAAGAATTCCCTTTTTTTGCAATGAGACTTGAAAGAATATATTTCTTATGTTTCCTATTTCCTAGTTTGTTTATTAAAGTTTTGTTACAAAATGCTGTACTTTCTGCATTTTGTTTTTGCTTTTATAAACTGTTATTTGTTATCCAGATATATCTTTGGGTTCTTAAGTGTGAAATATGAAAATAAATAATTTTGTCCTGTCTCTTTTGCTGTAAAATCTTTTTTGTTTTGGTATAATTTTTAGTTTGATTATTAACAGTACGTGAATTGTAATCATGTCATAGTAATTTATATTTTATCACCCATAAAGTTTATAAAATATTTAAATGGCAAAACCACTTGTAGTAGCTGCTGGTAACACTCGTCTACTTATGATTACCAAATTTAAATTGACGTTACTTTTTATAATTGACTTTTAACTTTTCTTCTCAGGGGTTTCACTTTTGGCTACAACAGTTGGTCTTTTTGTTATTCCTTTTTGCAAGGCAGCAGTGTTACTGATTTTCATGATATCTGTCATTGGCGTTTCAATGGGCATTCTGGATACAGGTTAGTGAGCCCTTAAGTGTCATCTATGGGAGTGGGGACTTTCTACTAGAAAAGTAGATCAAATGGTATTAAACGGTCACTTGCAGTGCTCTGGAAATGACATGGACTGTACTGCATGTTATGGCACATGCCTGTAATCCCAGAGACTTAGGTGGCTGAAGCAGGAGGATCACAAGTTCAAGGCCAGCCTCAGCAACTAAGACCCTTTCTCAAAATTAAAAATAAAAGGAACTGGGAATGTAGCTCAGCGGTAAAGTGTCCCTGGGTTCATTATCTAATACTAGGAAAGAAAAAAAATGAAGACATGAACTTACTAAGTGGGTCATGGGTTCACTTCATCAGATCCCCCATCCAGCAGCTACTGTTTTCGCCAGTTAGGGCACAGATTTTTGAGCAGCCAACTATGAATTTAACTTAAAGGATTTTGTTCTGTTGGAGATACTGATTACTGTATCCAAACAGGGAAGAAGCCTCTCCTGGGCTAATACTGTGCAGGTGAGCAGATTTTATTTTGGGAGAGAATTTTAACATTGTAGTTTAAGAGGAATTGATGGTTTAATAGGATAAAACAAGTGTGGAACCATTATTTGGCTGATGAAGTATAGAAGCAGCCTTCAATTTAAAATGTACTAGTTTGCTTGTTTTTCTTCTCTCTCTCTCTCAAAAGTTTCTGTTCTCCCATAGTAGAGCTTCTCTGTGGGTCATCATGTCCTTGAAAATCTGCTAAGTAACATGTGATATGTGTTTACCACAAGATCCAGCTTTCTATGCCTCCCTTCTCTACTCTAAGGTTATTTATAAATTGGAGAAATGTTTTATACTTCTGGCTTAGTTTGCAGGTGTTCAGATGGTGTATGAATAGATGCTAAAAGGTGTTCTCATTTCCTATAACAGGCACACCAGACACTTGGTGTATTCAGGTTCCTGAATGTGTGTTTTGCATCTGTTTCATTAATAAATAAATGAAATTCCTCAAGTACAGAATCTAGCTTTGGTAATTGGCCACTCTCTGGTGGTAAAATTTTTCCAACTAAATATATAAATTTAAATCAGTTACAAATAAGTAGATGTATGAATGTACTCCCCAGTATGATGTTGGCCCTCTAAGTAGCCTTTGCTAATATGCCTGACTCTGGGTAGCGGTTTATCAGTTTGTAGAATTCCATATATGCAGTTGAAATGTTATAAGTTATAGCTCTCTGGTGGGAGTAGGTTAGAGTTCCTTAGAGAATTGACTCAAGCACAATATTTGATAACTTTGTTAAAATGTGCCATGTAATACAGATTTATCCTCTTTCTGACAGTAAAGACCTATTTTTTTTTTTTAAAACCAGATAACTGTGCTTAACATAATTGAATTCTCCATCCTTCATTGGCAGGTGGTAATGTCCTCATCTTGGATATTTGGGGGGATGAAGGAGCCCCACACATGCAGGCCTTACACTTCAGTTTTGCCTTGGGTGCCTTTCTGGCTCCAATTCTGGCTAAATTGGCACTGGGTACCTCAGTGTCTGCTGAAAACCACACAGAGCCTGCCTTTCAGCCTCCAGCCACCAACGGATCATCTGAAGCTGACTCAGCGCCTCTGTTTGGATTGCCTGATGACATGAATCTATTCTGGGCTTATGCTTTTATCGGCACTTATATTTTCATAGTGTCTGTCTTCCTGTTTACTCTGTTTTTCAAGAAAAGCTCAAGGCAGGAAAAATCAAAACCATCTGCTCAGGGATATCGAAGAGCTGAATATCACAAGACCCTTCTCTGCCTCCTTTTCTTGTTCTTCTTTTTTTATGTTGGAGCAGAGGTAACATATGGCTCTTACGTTTTCTCCTTTGCCACCACTCATGCTGGCATGGAAGAACATGAAGCAGCTGGGTTGAACTCCATCTTCTGGGGGACCTTTGCAGCCTGCAGGGGCCTGGCGATCTTCTTTGCTGCCTGTCTACAGCCGGGCACCATGATTGTGTTGAGCAACATTGGCAGCCTGGTTTCATCTTTATTTCTGGTGCTTTTCAACAAGAGTCCACTCTGTCTCTGGATTGCCACTTCGGTGTATGGGGCCTCAATGGCAGCCACATTTCCCAGTGGTGTTTCCTGGATTGAGCAGTACACGACCATAAGTGGGAAATCAGCAGCCTTTTTTGTAATTGGTGCAGCACTGGGAGAAATGGCTATTCCTGCAGTAATTGGAATTGTTCAGGGACAATACCCAGATTTGCCCATAGTTCTGTACACCTGTTTGGGGTCAGCAATATTCACTGCTGTTATATTTCCTGTGCTGTATAAATTAGCTACCTTGCCTCTGGATCACCAGCGAAAAGCTAACAGAAAGAGTGAGGACCAAAAGTCTTTGCTTTCCAACTCTGAGCTAAATGACTATGAGGAGGAGAATGAAGGGGAGGACGCAGAAAAATGGAATGAAATGGATTTTGAAGTAGTAGAAATGAATGATACAATGGGGCCTATTGTCATAGAACATTCTGGAAATATTTTGATGGAGCCCACAGCTGATGTCTCCACCCAGTTCCTATCAAGTACATTAATATTTAAGTCTTCCCCAGTTAATACTGGTGATTCCGCTGTGAAACACCTTGCCAGAAGCGTGGAAAAAAGGGACTAACACTTAGAGAAGATGAATTATTTACTGACTGTCGTGAATAAATGCCACTTTTAAAGAGGGCAGAGCAGCATTACCAGATTTCAGCATGCTTTGGGGATCAAAGTTTCAAGGCCCACGTTAGCAAATGCTGAAGATTTGAAATGTTCTAATTCCCAGTGTTTCCCACAAAGTATCAATTGTGTGGTTCAGTAGGACCTTGTTTTGAGACTATTGTGTATCATAGGCTGATAGGTAATATTTTCTTGTGTCTACCTTTCAGAGCACACAAACCCTTTTTTTTTTTCCTTCTTGAGAAGTTGGGTAGTGTTCGACTAGAACAAAAGCCGTTATGTGTGGGATGGATATTCCATTCAAGTATCAGGCATGTTCTGCCAAAGATGTTGGGCAGAGAAATTTCATGATTATCTCTGGAAACAAATAGTTGTTTTTATTAATTGCTTTACCTTATCTTTATTGTTGGACCAAAGATTGTTAAAGACTTATTTGGTATTTGATTTCTAGGCAGAGAACACAAAGCCAGACTCAAGAGACCTGGGTTCAAGATAGGAGTCTGGCTTAGGGCTCTCAGTATAGGTCTTGTTTATGTTATCACTTGATCTGTGACTCCAGAAATGGAAGTGAGATGAGATCCAAATTGAGAAACTCCTAGGTTTTAAAGTTTGTGTAGGATGACAGCTAACACATTCTTCATTTCAAATGAGAATTGAAACAAAAATGGTAAATGGCTTTAAGTATGAGCTATTGTGTATGAATTCATTCCAATTTCATACACTCTATATTAAATATGTTCTTTGGAAAATATTCTAAAGAACACTTTTTTTTTTTTGTACTGAAATTGAACCCAGTAGTGCTTTACCACTGAGCTATACCTGCAAACCGCACCCCTCCCCACCTTTTTAAAATTTTTGTGATAGAGTCTAAGTTGCTGAGGCTGGCCTAGAACTTGGTGATCTCCTGCATCAGCTTCTCCATTGACTGGGGTTACAAGTGTGCACCATTGTACCAGGCAGGGATACATTTTTAATGCTGCATCTCATTGATCCTAAGATATAACTTTTCCCCATAATTTAATGTCTTTTAAACTGCATATACTTATAATCAATGATCTTTTAATATTATGAGAAATCTTGTTTGACTTTTTTTTACTACATGCATATATAAAATAACATCATATTTTACAATCAGTGTCTTAGGTTCAGTGATATGCAGTAAATATAATTATGGAAATTATATTTGCAGATATTTTTTAAAGAAAACTTATTTTTATATGCTAATTTAATCTCTAGTGATGTGTAAATAGGATTTGGAGATACTATATTCTGATATTAGAAGCTGTTTGAATTATTACATTAGTAGTAGAGGCATAGATGGTCTTTTGAGGCCCCTGACCTACCTCAATAACAGAGGCTGGGTCTAGGTCTTACTGTTTCAAGACTTTGACTCTCACTGGATTTGGGTGATAATCCCAGTATAAGTACTGTGAACCAGACTAGAAGTTCAGTTTACAAGGAGGCACAGCCTTTTCTAGGGTTTGGAATTCTTATGTCACCCACCCATCCTCTTCCTTGAGTTTGAAACACCTGGGAATCCAAAGTGAAGATGAGAAGATGAAGGGCTGGAGATGTAGCTCAGTGGTAGAGCACTTGCTTAGCATGCTAAAGGCCTCCGTTCAATCCCCTATACTGGGATTGGGGGATGTCAGACAGCAGGTGGCTTAGTGGTCTAGGCATCAAGGATGAGGAAGGGAATTTATGAGTATGGCCAAACTGGTGTGTCTATCCTTCAATAAATGACAAGAATCAATAAGAGTTTTTGTATACTTTTCCCTAAGTTTTATGTTGAGTGACCTCAAATTTCTACCAGAATGCTTTCTCTTATCTAATGTCTATAAATTTGTTTTTGAGAAACAGTTGCTTTGGTTTGTCTTAAGTGAAATGCAGTACCTTTCTTAACCAGTTTGTTCACCTTATAGCTTTCATTCATGTTGAGAACGCAAGAACTTTGGAGAGGGCTGCTGGAGAAATTGATGGTAAAATACCTGTTGTTTTTTTAAAATACAGTACTTCTCCCCTGATTAGTGTTGGAAATCACTTATGTTCCACACTCTCTCTTCTCTTTCTCAGGCTGCTGGGCCTTAGGCAGTAGCAGTTGTTTGGCTGATGAGAGGCTCATTACTATAGGGATTTTCCCCTCAGCTTCTACTTTTAGAGGGTAGGAGATGAGGCCATGGGAGAAATGCATGGGAATGAGAACATGGCATACATTTTGGAAATCCATATAGATAAATCACTAAGATTCCACAAACCAAAATGTGGATGTTCATAAGACCACTGGCATTATAAAATTTTGAAAACGTGTTTCCATATTGAAAGGAATCAACTTAGCACAGTCTAAGCATTAGCATTCATTTGAATGATCAGTTCTTAGGTGTCTACTGATATACAATAACCAATAGCCAACTTTTCTATTGCTGTCTAATAAATGACCACAAAAAACAGCAACTTAAAACAACATACACTTATTATCTCACATTTCTGTGGTTCAGCAATGTAGACATGACTTAACTTTCCTCTGCTATGGGTCTTACAGGGCCGAGACCCATATCCCTGTTGGGTAGCATTTTCTTCTTCGTTGGAGTGTTCAGTCCTCCTTCAAGGCATGGGGTTGCTTTCAGTATTTAGTTACTAGCTTGTTGACTGGGTTTCCTGTTTCCTGCTCACAGTCAGCTGGTCCATTCTTAGGTCCTTCAAGACTCCCACAGTTCCTTGCTATGTGACCCTCTCATAGATCCTCCCACAACATGGCAGCCTCTTCAAAGCCAACAGGGGAGTATATGCACAAGACTATGGTTTAATGTCCAGCACCACCACAAAAAACAAAACAACAACAAAAAAGACAAGTGTTGCAATACCCTCCTGCAAGAAGTGTGAGATCCAAGATATTATTCCTAAGATGATTTTGTTTCACATGGATTCAGTGGATAATCAGGATAGCTTTATTATAACCAGAACTTTAGAATCATAGCAACATGTCACTTAACCCTGCCACTTTCACATATTAATAAAAGATATTTAGAAATTCTTCATGTAGCCTCCCCTGTGTGTAAAGGAAAAAAGCAGGCTGATGATGATTGTGAGGAGGAAGATTTTGGCTCCAATTCTGAAAGACACTTTGGCTAGTTCATTTTAGCTAGGTCGAACTTGAGTTGAATATTTATATATGTATAAGTAGCTTCACATTTAATGATTTAAAATTTTATAAATGTGAATGTTTATAACCAAGATTTTTTTTTCTTGTCTGTAATCCCAGCTACTTGGGAGACTGAGGCTGGAGGATAACAAGTTTGTGTCCAACCTTGACAACTTACTCAGACCCTGTCTCAAAATATAAAATGGGCTGGGGATATATAACAGTGGTAGCACACCCTTGGATTCAATACCCAGTCCCCCAAAATAAAATTTTTAAAAACTATTCTTTAAATTTATTTTCCAACATTTATCTAGTGGTTAGTTCTATTTTTGTCTTCTCTTGTCCTCCTCTTCTGTCCTATTGCTTTTAGAACTTTCAGAGATGATCGATTCTTGTATTAAGTATTCTTATGTATTTTCTTGTCTTGCTTCAGTTTAGGAATTTAATTTCAGAATATATTTGGTACCCATCTCTAATTTTATTGCAGCTTGAGTTTGATGCATTTATTAGCTAGTTACTGGGTGGGCAGGAGAAAGGTTTTGAAATTGTCTGATGACATGAGTAGCATGAGAGATTGGGGTTTTTAGCTTCTGAACAACTCGTTGAAAGTATAAGGTGCTTTTACAAAACTGATGTATTTTTAATGGTGTATGATGTACAAAAATATAACTCTTACTATATTATCCATTTTCAAGTGTGCAGTGCAGTGGCAGGAAATATATTCACATTGTTGTGCAGCCATGACTGCTATCCATCCGCAGAACTCTTCATCTGGCATAACTGGAACTCTGTGCCCATTAGGCAGTAACTCTCTGTCCTACCCACCCTAAGTTTTAATAAACTTCTCTCCTTGGAGACTACCAAGTATCATGTGTTTGAGGGCTTAGGTTACAGTTTTCTGCACTTGAATGATCCTCTGTTTTGCGCTCCTTTGTTAAGAAACATGGAAGTCCTGTGATTGCCTAGGAGCAGATGGTATGTGTTCAGGGAACCATGGACTAGGCTGCTCTCTGCCTCTCACAGAAGCTCCATGGGACTACTTCCTTCTGTTTCCCTCTCTTGGTCCGTCCTCTTGATATTTCTAGTCCTGATTCCCCAAAGAACCTATGTGATGTGAGTAGGTCCCATTACCATTATTGGACCTAGGGGTCAATAGTGTGCCTTATGAATGGTTTGCCTTGGGTCCGTCCTTCCTTCCTTCCTTCCTCTCTCTTCCTCTCTCTCTCTTTCTTTCTCTCTCTTTCTTCCTTTCCTTTTCTTTTCTTTCCACATTTATTTATCTTTATATGGTGTTGAGGATCAAACCCTGGGCCTCATATATGCTAGGTGATTGCTCTACCATTGAGCCACAACCCCAGCTCCTGCCTTGGGTCATTTCTATTGCTTCCTTCCAGAGAGTGGCCACCTTCACACTCCTGCTGCCATTGCTCAGAATGCAGTAGCCTTACACCAAAATTCCACTGCCTACTTCATGTCAGGGTAATGCTGGGCTTTGTGAATATTGCTAACAGGTACCTGAAAGGGACTGGCAGGCCCTTCCAATTCATCGTTTGAATTGGAATTGAAAACATAATTCCAGCAAATTGCAGGAGTTGGGGGAAGGAAGAGTTGCCGCAGTCTGGCTGGGCACAATCAGGAGCCACTTGTCAAAAGAAACTAACTTTATTTTTAGAACCACACACGCCAAACAAAACAGCCTCTCAGGAAAAACCCTCAGAGCCTCAACTGCCACCACCGGCTTCCCACAAGCCTCTCTCTCCCACACAAGCTTCTCCCCACCTCCCACAATCCTCCTGCTCTTGAGGCCGATTGGCTGGGTCACGTGGGCGGAGCCAAAAAAGTCCCCCAATGAGCAGCTCTGTGGTCTGAAAGGGCAGGGAAACAGCCCAATGAGCATCACCGCAGAGGAGCCAATCAGATGTTGCTGGGGCCGCTGTGAGCCAATCATCAGCCGGCAGCTGGAAGTTTGCTGGCAGCTGGAAGTTTGCTGGGGCCCCTTCGGCTGTGGCTGTCAACATCTCCCCCTCTCTGTTTAAACAACAAGCATGTGGCTTAGGGACCGTGCCTGCCTTAGGTTGTCCAATAGTACATATGGTCCTTAGGTTGGTACCATTGCAATTGGATCTTACCCGTCACTGACTACCGGTCCAGTATACAGCCACACCTGTGGAGAGGTCTTTGTACCAGCGGGGGGGTGAGGTTCTTTGCCTCACCTCTGTTGGCCCCCAAATTTTAGCTGGACGATCATGACAAGCAGAAGGGAGGAAGATACACCAAGCCAATTGACGGCTCCTTTTGGAAAAATTGTACCACCAATGACATCATCAGCAAAAATACCCCAACACTACCACAAGTCGCTGCACAACAGATAGTTCACAATGCATACAGGTGAGCTCACAATGTGTCCAGGCAAGTTCTGCAAGCAGTTCAGTGATGGCTATTGTAGAAGCTGTAGATTGGTTTTATCTTTGACTTCACCAGCACTGGGATGAAGATAGGAATTCTGGCAATAATGGCTAAAGAAAAAATTATGTAACATTACAGAAGGCACTAAAAGAAAACAATTTTCTTAACAATTTACATTGTCTTCACCGGCACTGGGATGAAGATAGGAATTCTGGCAATAATGGCTAAAGAAAAAATTATGTAACATTACAGAAGGCACTAAAAGAAAACAATTTTCTTAACAATTTACATTGTCTTCACCAGCACTGGGATGAAGATAGGAATTCTGGCAATAATTGCTAAAGAAAAAATTATGTAACATTACAGAAGGCACTAAAAGAAAACAATTTTCTTAACAATTTACATTGTCTTCACCGGCACTGGGATGAAGATAGGAATTCTGGCAATAATGGCTAAAGAAAAAATTATGTAACATTACAGAAGGCACTAAAAGAAAACAATTTTCTTAACAATTTACATTATCTTTAAGAGAATTATTAAATATAATGAAAAGGAAAGGTGAAAGTAAACAAACAGATCTGTTAACCTTCTTTTTTGTTTACATATTAAAACAATCCTCAACAGTTGTTTACCCAATTTAAATTAAACCATATAAATCACGTGAAAAAAAATATTTGGATCCATTTTATCATGAGCGCTCATCATATATGATATATGGACATACGTACATTCAAACATATAACACAAAACACAAGTGTGCACACATAATATAATACATACAACACATAACATTATAGTAAAGGCCTTATAACTTTTTACAGGTGAAATCTCCATTGCAATGTTTAAAAACTCTATAGTCAAAAAATAGAACTGATCAGCAAAACATTAACCTAGGTCTGTATGAGCTCAAAAAACAAAATAGAACTTCATGATATGGCAAAGGGCAATAATAAAATAGATATTGAAAAAAGCATCCTGGTTCTGTTGCAGATGTAAGAATAGCCAAACTGGAGTTTTGGATATCAGTTGTTATGGACTTGAGCCAAATCATCTTCTTTTTGGTCTGTAGAAATCGCTTTAGTTAATCTTTCTGGAATCCAAATCGGCTGCTGTTCTCCCTGTGGAAACACATAAACAGACCCCCGACTCCAGACAATCACTGGGTCAGGACCTTGGTTAATCTCTCTGGAATCCAAATCGGCTGCTGTACTCCCTGTGGAAACACACAAACAGACCCCCGACTCCAGACAATTACTGGGTCAGGACCTTTCCATTGTCCTGTTAGAATATCCTTCCAAAGTACCTTGGGCTTATGTACATTTTTTGGACACATATGCCTTTCCGCAGCACTAAGTCCTGATGAATCCAAATTTAAAAAGTTTAGAGTAAAAAGGGTTATTTTAAGTTTATCTTTGGGGAATATATACCCCTTCCCAATTCCTTCTTTTTGCTTTAATAAGTACATTTTAATAGTTTGATGAGCTCTTTCAACTATGCCTTGTCCCTGTGGATTGTATGGGATTCCTGTTATATGAGTAATGCCAAATGTTGAGCAAAATTGTTTAAAAGAGGTAGAAGTATAACCAGGGGCATTATCTGTTTTTAACTGTTTTGGAACACCCACAGTGGCAAAATTTTGTAAGCAATGAGCTATAACATCTTTAGTTTTTTCTCTGGCATGAAGGGAGCCCATCAAAAATCCAGAAGAAGTATCAACTGTAACATGCAAATATTTTAATTTTCCAAATTCTGGCAAGTGTGTGACGTCCATCTGCCAAATATGGTTAGGTATCAATCCTCTAGGATTGACTCCAAGATTAACTTGTGGTAAAAATGTCACACAATTTTGACATTGTTTTATTATTTGTCTAGCTTGTTCCTTAGTTATTTTAAAATGCTTTTGTAAAGTATTAGCATTGACATGGAACTTTTTATGAAAATTTATAGCTTCTTCTAGTGTAGAGAAAATATGTATGTCATGTGTAGTTTTATCTGCTAAATCATTGCCCAAACTAAGGGCTCCAGGCAATCCTGTATGTGCCCTGATATGTCCTATAAAGAATGGATCTTTTCTGTCCCAGATTAGACTTTGTATAGTGGAAAGCAAATAGAAAACAGTAGAAGAAGGGGAAATCCTACCAGCATCTTCAAGAGATACTATAGCATTAACTACATACTGACTATCAGAAAATAAATTAAATACAGAATCTTTAAACATCACAAAAGCTTGTAAAACTGCATTAAGCTCTACCTTTTGAGCTGATTGTTTGGGTACTAAAAATGTAAAAGTTTGATCAGGGGTAACTACTGCTGCTGTACCATTATTTGACCCATCAGTGAATATATTTGGAGCATTCATGATAGGTGTTTTTCTTGTCATTTTTGGAAAAATTACAGGATGCAATGACCAAAAAGACAATAAAGGATTAGATGGTAAGTGGTTATCAAATGAAACATTAGATTTGCACATGATTATTGCCCAAGTATTTAACTCATTAGCTAACTCATCAATTTGATTCATAGTATATGGAGTAATAATTTTATTGGGAGAAATTCCAAACACTCCCTTTGCTGCTTTTATTCCTTTGAGTATTAATTGTCCTACAGCCTCAGGATACCTAGTAAGAATAGTGTTAGGAGAATAAGATAAATGTATCCACAATAATGGACCTTCTTGCCAAAATACTCCTGTAGGAATATTTTTTGTTGGTAGTACAATAAATAATAAAGGCAAACTTATATCAATTCTATCCAAATGCATATTTTCCATATATGTTTCAATGATTTTTAATGCCTTTCTTGCTTCAGGCGTTAACATTCGGAGTGAATTTGGATCTGATGGACCTTTTAGGATATCAAATAAAGGTCCCAACTCT